AAAGGAGAGCCTTGGAGGAGCTGCTGAACATCAAGGCCGAGGACTACAAGACTGCCGGCAACAACCAGCAGAAAATCTTCAACAACCTGCTGGGGGACCTGGTAGCGCACGGCAGCCCGGCAAGCGTGTCAAACCGTGAGCACGCCAGGCGTGCGGCCAAGGTGCGTGCGGCCAAGGTGCGTGCGGCAAAGTGCCTTGTAAACAGTTTGGTCCAGCTGGACCGCAGCAGACGGCAGCATGAGGATTCTCCATGAACTGAGTTAGTAAACGAGGCGGTCGAATCCTCACAGCCACCACCTCCACCGCAGCAGGCCAGGTGCGGGCATGGCATGCATGACGATGCGCCCAGCCCAGTCCTTGCATCGGGAAGCAGTTGCGGCAAACCGTTCCTTCCTATTCAATTGACGCCGCGCTGCGTGCTCGGCTGTCCCCCCCTGCCGCCGACCCGCTGCCGCCATCTGCTTGGCGCCTGCTGACCAGCGGTGCTGGCCTTCACCCCTTTGCAGCCATGGACCCGGCGGACCTGCCCGAGCTGATCGTGGCTGAGAGCAAGGGCGACGTGATTGCCAAGACGTGGGCCTTCTGCCCCATCACTGGCGACCTGCTGATCCTGGATGCCGCGGCGGGGGTGGCCCGCAGCGAGCGCGCCGACTTCTCCCGCCCGCTGTCCGACCTGGACGACACCATGACCGTGGTGACCACCTCCGACATGGATGTGTACATGCGGCAGTACGCCATGGAGCCGCTGATCAAGAGCCGGGAGCAGCTAGAGTTTGAGGAGCTGCTGAAGAACAGGGTACGGGCGACGGTGGAGGAGCCGTGCCCGCGATGCGGCAACCCCATACTCGAGTACTACACCATGCAGCTGCGGTCGGCGGACGAGGGGCAGGTGGGCGGGGGCGGGCAGGGGTGGGTATCTGGGTTGCAGCACGCCGGATGCTCGGCGCGTTGCTCTGCTCGGTGCTGCTTGTTCCTGGTCTCTGCTGCAGTTGGGATGCTGAGCATGCTGCTGTGCCCCCCGTGGCCGCCGCCTGCCTGCAGACCGTCTTCTACGAGTGCCCCAAGCGCGACTGCGGCTACCGGTACAGCACCAACAACTGAGGGGCAGGAGCGCTGCCTGCCTTCCTGCCGCTGCACCAATCCAGTCCAAACCAACGCATGCACCTGTGAATTACTCATTACCACGTGTCTCATCCCTACCACTTGTCTCATCCCTGCTTGCGCTCTCGCGCCTCGGTTCCCTGCTGCCTGCCCACTGCCTGCTCCTTACAACCAGCATACTCGATGTGCAGCTTGATAGCGCCGCCAATATGCAACAAAACAAAAAACAAGAGAAACAGACGACAAGTGCCTTGGGAAGCGCCGCTGCGCGGCATGGCACCAGCGCAGTGCCGGGCAGGCGGCACAACGAGTTGGTCAGGAGGGTGATGTGGATATACAGGGGTAGGCTGTGCGGTGCGGTGCGACAGTTCTGATTCGTAAGATGCAAGCAGCAGGCAGCGGGAGGAGTTGATCGGGAGCGAGGTATGGAAGGTGGCGTGGGTTGACAATGGTGCAGAGACGCTGCTCAGCCTCTGGGCTGGTGGAGGCTCCGGCCTGACCCTGAGACTTCTGGCCAGAAGGGAGAGGGTCCAGCTGCAGCGATGCGCTCCACCACCGAGGGCGGCCCAAAGCCGCGAGGCGCGCTGCGCTGGCTGCGAGGGCGCGTGGGCTTAGAGCGCGCGGCGGTATGCCTCTGCCTGCGCCGGGTCCACTTCATCCAGCATGTCGTCCACCTGGGGCAGTGAGGGGGTGAATGA